TGAAACCTGTTCAGTATCACAGAATCATGCAAGTTTCCAATGACAGAGGGGTAGTAGCTACACATGAGGTGAACTGGCCAGGAATGGAACCCAGGTCTCCCACATGGAAGGCTAGACTTCTACCACTAAAGTAGATATAATTCGATAGTAAGTAGTATCTCCCCAAAAAATAAGTATAAACCCTAATATTTTCACTTTCCTCAGATAGATACTTAAAAACCAAACCACTGCCAGTGAGTTAACTCCAAGTCATAGCAACTCCCATAGGATTTCCAAGGCTATAAATCTTTACAGAAGCAGACTCCCTCCTCCTTCCCCTGAAGAGCAGCTGGTGGGTTGGAGCAACAGACATTTTGGTTAGCAGCCAAATGCCTTAACCACAACACCGCCAGTGCTCCTTCAGAGAGATACTTAGAGGAGATTAAACAAAATCATAGCGTGCTCATTTTATAACAGGGAAATGGGGAGAAAAATAAACTGACATGCAACTAGTTACCAGCAGAGTCAGGACTAGAACATTGACCCTAAATAAGAACTTTTTATCTTTTTAATATATCATCATAACTTTCAACAAACTTCAGAAAACTAGAAATATTTTAATTTCTTTTAATCTATATTTCTATTAGCTTATGATAAAAAGATATGTGTCTAGAATAGGAAAAATGAGAATGTAGAATGGTTCAAATAGCCTCATTGAATTCTGAAGCACAAAATATCCAATAAATGAAAAACATCAATCATAGATGTCGCTGTCAGTGAAAAGTTTCCCAATCAGGACAACAAATTTTAAATTACTGAGTACTATTATACAGGTTTACTAAATCATTTTCATAGAAAAAACTCAGAGATTTAATTTCTCTGACTGATTCATAAGCCCAAAACTTGTAGAGTGGCTTTAAAATCAATTTTGGAAATACAGTTGTGAAATTTAGGCACAATCACCTTTCCGGGGATCTAATTTAAAAAAAATGTGGAATTTTCTCATACATTCATTATGGCATTTTTAAAAATAGTGGTAGGTTTGAACCGCCAACATTTTGGTTAGCAGTCAAATGCCTTAGGCACTGCACCACCAGAGCTCCTTCATCTTTCATGGTATCTGGGAAGTTTTCCACCAATATATCTTCAAATATTCTCTCTGTATTTATTTTTATCTCCTCCTCTTCTGGAATTCTTATTATGTATAAATTACATGATAGGATCAGTAAAGGGAAAAGACACTGGAGTCTGGAGAAATCCATACACAGACTTCCTTATGCGCTCTCTTATAGTGAGGGGAACACTTGAGCACACTCTCTTCTCTGGCAACAAAAAAGTAGTAACATGTGTAACGTTTGTACCCAAGGAAGCAGATTAGAGATTTAGTGCTTGAGGCTTTTACTGATGGCCAGTCATATAGGTATCTTCTACCTAGCACATATGGCAATTCCAGACTCTTAGAAGGAAAGAAAGTATTATGGATTGAACTGTGTCCCTCACCCAAATGTGTTGGAATCCTAACCCTATACCTAAAGATGTAGTGCCCTTTGGAAATAGAGGTTTCTCTGTTATGTTAAAGAGGGCATACTTATGTAAGGTCCTAAACCTAATCACTTCTGTGTTATAAAAATAGCAGACAAGGCACAGATGTAGGTAAATATGTTGTTGTTGTTACTTGCCGTCGAGTTTCGCTATGAGTTGGGGCCAACTCGACGGCAAATAGCAACAACAACATCATCACTACGGAAGTAGATTGCCACTTCCTTCCGAGGAGTGGCTGGTGGATTTGAACTGCCAGCCTTCTGGTTAGCAGTCAAGTGCCTTAGGCACTATGCTACCAGAGCTCCCACAGGTAAATACAGGAGAAGATAAATGCCATGTCAGGATGGTCAACGAATGCCCAGGACTACTGACAAGGAAGGAATCGACATGGCCATGGCCAGATTTGGACTTTTAACATACAGAACTATGAGAAAATAAATTTCTGTCCTTTAAAGCCACCCATTTGTGGTATTTCTGTTACAGCAGCACTAGGAAACTAAGACAGCAGGTGTTCAAAATAAATCACATTATTTGTACATGAGGCAAAGGTGAACCACACTAATCAGTTAGGAAAACCAAGGTCCCACACACTAGGTGACAACCTTTCAAGCAGGGCTTTCTCAAGCACAGCTGTCTGTGCCTGCTACGTTGACTCTTTATTGTACAGTTTAGCACAGTGCTCATATTGTAAGTTAACTACACATATATACTATGAATACCATTATAATACTATGCATCAGTTCATGCTTCTCACAAAACAGCTACAGTTGTGGGCAAGGAAAGATGGTTGTAGATATCTGTATACATGTGGAAGCAGTGTGAAAAAAGGGTTCTGCTGGAAAACTGTTTTGGGAAATGTGTATTATTTCTTTTTTCTGTAAATTCTTAATTACTATTAGCAAAATTAAAGGTCCTGAGAAGTTCTATAGTAAAGAAACTGTTTTTCTTATGACTAAATCCAGGATTTCCCATTTGATCATGTAATACCTATTAACTCCTTGCTGACAATTTAGGAAAAGCTACACTAAGGCAAATGAATATGTCCACCAATGGTAGATATATGGGAAAAATATCAAATGTCTGCAAGCTTTGAAAGAGTTATTAGAGCTAGAATTATGAAATTACCTTCTCTTGTGATAGGCAAAAAACTAACAAAACCATTAGATGGTGTGCTTGTAAACTTGGCCTCAATTAATTATAAAATGAAAGAGAAAACTGAAGATAATTTAGTCCCCACTGAAATATGTATTAACCAAATCATTTTTTATATTAAATCTGGTTTAGAACTAATCTAAACATTTTAATAAGTTAAATTAACATAAGTTCAAGAGTCACACACTCTCCTTCCTGCCTGCTAAATAATAATTTTTGGCTTCTAGTATGACAGAGTGAGGAGGTTAACAAACTTTTTTCCCCAACATCAATCATAAAATTTGACAAAGCTCTCAAAAAACAACCATTTCAGCACTCTGGAATTTGTACAAAGGCATACAACAAAAGGAGAAGTGTTTATTTATGAAAACATCTGAACTTCAGGTAAGAACAGTGGAATCTGTGGCATATTTTGCCAGGATTGCTCCCCTTGTGCCTCCCCAACAAGCTCTATTGGCCCAGCAATTCAACCAAGGCAGAGGAGGCTGAAATATTAGTTAAATTTTTCTATTGCTTCAATTGATTGGGAATGTTAGAAGCAGTAGACCCATTAGCCAGTGATTAAAAGGGACATCTGGGGAGTAAGACAGCCATAGAGGGCTTGATAAATTCATCATACTCCAGGCTGACTTCTTGTTGTTATGTGCCGTCAAGTTGGACCCGACTCATAGTGACCCCTCCTTGGGTTTCTAAGGCAGTATTACTAGGGAAGTAGTTTGCCCAACCATCCTTCTGAGGAGTGGCTGGTGGGTTTGAACCACCAGCCTTCTGGTTAGCGGTCAAGTGCCTTAGCCACTATGCTACCAGAGCTCCTCCAGGCTGACTAGAAGCTCTTTAAGTGCACAGCAGTTAATGGTGGGCCCAACTTTGAATACGCAAAAAGGAGGCATGAGAGAGTATGGTAGAAAATAAAATCTGGACCAGATTAGAAAACAGCTTGAAATTTGAATGTGTTCCCCAGCCCACACACAGAGGGAAGCCTTTCGGGCTTGAGAAATATGAGTGCAACCTTAGACCAATCCGCAGCTGAATATTAAAGCAATGCAGACACAGAGGCCACTAGTAGAAAGCCAAGCTTAAAAGTAAAGCAAGGAGAAGGATTGAAAAGAAATAATCAGCAAATATAGATTACAGGATAGACATATTTAACCAGCTGCCATCAAGTTGATTTTGATTCATGGTGATTCTAAATGTGTCAGTGTACAACTGTGCACCATAGTGTTTTCTATTTTTAAAATTTTACTAACACATTCAAAATACTATCATTTCAACATGTAATCAAAATAAAAATTATGACATCCAATGACATTGGTTACATTCTTTGCATTGTGTCACCATCTTGCTATCTCTACCCATACTGATTCACCACCATTAACATAAGACTCTCTTTCTCCTAAACTTCTCCTCAGTGTTTTACAGTTACTGTTGTGAATTTGATCTCATATAGATAATTATTCCAAAGAGCACAATGCTCAAAGCGAACATTCTTTGGCAGTTGAGATAATCTGCTATTTAGTTTAAAGATGACTTACTTCATGGGATAGTTTCAGTTTGAGGCTTAAAGAGTCTCAGAGCAATAGATTTAGGGTTACCCCAGTCTCAATGGGTCCAGTAAATTTTG